GACATAGGCTGCTAAGCCTTTACAAATTTTTGCACGTGGAGGAAATGAAACAAAATTCATCTATTACATATATAATATATACTAATATATACTAATTACTATATCAATACCACAGAATTCCACCATAATTTATCAAGCTTAGTAACCAATCTGTATTTCAATGAAAAAAAAAAAAATGAAATTTTGAGCAGATTAAAGACAACTTACCTCCTTGGAATCTTGGCTCGAAAGAACTAGATGATGTCCTAAGAATTTAAAATGGCTGAGAAAGCCATGAGGACATTCTGAGCTTTTGATTGGTTATTCATGTCATATATAGAAGTAAGTGTATATAAATGAGCATTTCCAAAAATGGAAAAAAGTGGATAGGGAGCCCACTGTGTTTGATTCAGTGCATGAACAATATTTTAGCAAATAGGAAATATGGGATGCTCTTATTTTACATTCTAGCTTGTCAATATCAGTAATTTGAGTTCCTAATTCATAAAAAACTATAGACTTGGTATTTTGACATCACAAACATCTAATTTGAACCAGTGCTACATTCAACATAGCACATGACATAAAAATCGATGTTTAACAGTGTTTTTTTAATATTTACTTTTAAATTAAGAAATTGAATAATGCATGATACTAAAATTTGAATTATAACCTACAGTTTGATACCACACTTATTGACATAATTTCATGAAATAGTAGTTCAATAAAATTTTGAATGAGAGTCAACAAACGTGATGACATCGCCTTTGACTCAAGACTCATCTGGAAAGGGTTAACTTTCTCAATGATATAAGATAAATTGTGTTTTTTTGATGTAAGGAAATGCAGTAGGGTGTCTAAGGTTTTTCTTTGAAGGTGGGTGCAGGTTGGAGATCAGAAGAATGAGGTTTCTTGTGAAAGAATTGCAAAGGCCAGAGAAAACTTCAGATTCATTAACAAAACAGTTTATAGGAGGACAAATATTTAGTTATTTCTTTTGATATCTGATTTTAGCTTCAGTCAATGATCAGTATGAGAAACTGATGATTTTGAAATGGTTGGTAAAATTTGATTTTAGTGTTTAATAGGGTTTAATAGGATTAAAAAGGTTGTTTACTTTTATTGTTTGGTGAGTAAGCATTCTTATATAATTGTTGAATGGAAGTAAGTGGTACTAGTTAGAAAAATTAGTCTTCACAAATAACAAAGAAAACAATTTTGATATTGTCATCGCATCACTTAAAACTATCATCTAATTCCATTTATTTTCATAGAGTTTTGTCAGATTTTGTTTTCAATGTAACTTACCAATCTTTTTATGTTACATATTTTTAATTATGAATTTAGTACCTACAATAAGATCAATAAATTTAACATTTAAACTATTTCTATATTTTAAATGATTATTAAAAATGTAACAAAATTGTTTAACTAGGGTAATTTACTTACGACTTTCCACTATGCATCAGGTCAAAAGCCTCGTTAATCTTCTCCAATGTTATGGTATGTGTGATAAACTCATCAACCATTAACTTCCCCTCCAGATACTGTTCCACCATTTTTGGGACCCCATCCCGACTTTTCCATCCTAATCAATATTTAAAGTAACATATTAATGAGTCAAAAATCTCAGTATTGGCCTCTTATAAACACAGTTACATTTTATTTTTACTTTGGATAACTAGACATTTCATGAGCCATGAGCCTATACTAAAACAAGCAACTAATTTTAACTGGATGAAAATAACAACTGAAAAGTTTCCCTTTTCTTTAAAATGGAAATTTTATTTGTAATATATACACACACACACACACACACACACACACATATATATAGGACATTCTTGCACCCATGTAAAATATTATGTTCTAGATGAATAGGTTTAAATTCTGGTTTCTGATAGAATGATCAATGAAAAACAGAAGTGTAGAGAAATTCATAATTTTTCAGATAAAATTACACATATTAAGATAAAAATTTCTCAATTTCTAACAACATTCTTCTTCAAGATCACTTTACATCTAATGAATATAGCTTCTTTTTCAATGTTTTTAATTTTTGGATATTGTTTAGCAATAATATTCAATAAAGGATTTGAGTTAGAATATTTTGCTGACATCTTGTGATAGGATACAGTTTCTGTATCTTTACGAACAGATATAATTTAACAAAAACACATTTACAGCAAATAAAAGAACATCTAAACAAACTAAAAAATTTCTCAGATCTGCGATCTGTTTGTAAGTCTTCTAAACTTCTCATTAGATTCCTTTTTCATCCCTACCAGAGCTCGAACTTGTCAATATCTTGAGAAACCATAAATTACTGCTCAAACTGCTCTACAATGATGTAAGTAGCTTATAATCTTCTCTATCTACTCGCATTTAAATGTTGCCTCTAGCTATTTTCAGTTTCATTCAAACCACATGCTGTGGCATCATAAAAGAGTGGCAATGAACCACTAAACAGGGAAAGAAAATCTTGTAATAAACAAGATAATTTTATTTTTTAGGTTTTTACCAAATACAAACCTATACTTTAGGATAGTCAGAAAAAGTTTTTAAAAAAAATTGGAAAAAATTAAACTACATGAATGTTACAAAATGCCAATACCAAGATACTTTTGAATTAAATGTTTAAAAAATTAGAATTGATATTTTTACTTAAATGTTGAAATTTAACATGCACTTGACAGATTTTCTCTGGTCCAGATAGGGATAAAGTAACACAGGTAGATGATTGATTGATAGAGATGTTTTATATTTATCATACCATTTAATTTTTTTTTCATAAACTTTTCTGTAGTCAGTCCTTTGACAAAACTGAAAAAGTAACATAGTAAAAATATTTCAATAAATCACTCCATAAAGACCCAAGTCCTAATGCTGCTTCTGTAAATTTTTGACCAAGAATAAAAATCCACAAAAAAAAAAAACATTTTAAAAAAGTAAAGGAAAAAATTTAAGCTATTAAATAGAAGCATTGGAAGTTTGACCCTCAAATTATTGACTTTATTTTACTAGAGATGTGTGGTTTTATGGTATATTGTGATTCAAACTCCAGCAGCATGTATATTGTGGTACAATTCCTCAGAACCAGTTTTCCATGGTATTTTTTTCAACTTATAGTTTTCAGGGTTCCCATACCTTCAGCAGAAAAAACAATAATTCCTGAATTTTTCTAGAATATCATAATTAATTAAGAAATTATTTCATGGTTTTTCTTTGAATTTGTAGAATAAATTTGGTGATCAATAGCCCTAACATTTTTTTTAAAACTACAAGCATCCAAAATCAATAACATGACTTATTTGCTTAGGGTTATGAGTGTGACTTGTTGTACAATATTTGTCATTGTAGGTTTAGCACTATTTTTTTCTACAAAAACAAGATGTTTAAACCAATTACTTTCTAACATCTCACTCTCACATATTTGATAGGGATTCTGCTGGGTATCATCAAATACTGCTCTTAGCACATGATCATTAATGTACATTAATTTCAGGAAAGGAGAAAAATATATACATTTAGCATTTTCAACTTTTTTATGACCAAATGATTTACCAAGACATGTACTTCAGTTCTATTTATGTACTTTCTTGCTAATTCAAGTGCAAGTTATAAGTCCTCTTGTGTTCTTGTTTTGTCATTGTCGATCTGTTGACTTTGACAACCACAACAGCTTTAGCCACAAACATTTCAAATTAAACAAAGAAGTATGAGTGATATGCAAGGTAAACTTGTAACAACTTTACTTTTGGGTATATTCATTTAATTTGTGGCACTACATTTCTAGATGATCCCTGTATTAAGCTATAAATTTAAGTTTCCCAAGCAGTCTCTAGACATATCAACAAACAGCCTATAATAACATCGATAACAAGTTATCAAAACTATTGCTTTTAAATGCAAATGACATTACAATCCTCAATTCTCTAACACTAAGTGTTGGATTTTGAGAACAGTTTAGAGACTTTCCTCAGAAAAACTTGTGTAAAGTCAACACATGGTCGACATGGCTGGTGAACACACGCACAAATGTACTAACCTCTAATTATGGCACAATTCCAATTGTATGGCATTTTCTGATTATGATCTAGCTGTATACAAGTTAATGGCATGCAAATGCAACTTGCAATCTACCAATGATACACATTGTTGCAACCTAAACTATGCCTAGGAGTTCAATCAGTAGATGGAATTACCTTAGTAAGCAAAGACTTTGTGCAATATAATTAGTTAATTACAAAGATAATGCAATATAATTAGTTAATTACAAAGATCACAATATGAAATTTCTAGCAACACCCACTCTTATTATCAACTATTGTTGGGGTTCACATAGCTAGTTTGGGGTTTTTGTCTGTTACACAACATGACCAAAAAAACTGGATAGAATACATAAGAAACTCCAACAGTAATTTGTGGCATCAGCTGGAATATTGATGTTAACTTGTTTTTAGATTTTTAACTAGAGGGGTACTCAGTAGAGAGCATACCTTCACCATGATCATATTCAGCCCTAAAAAAAAAAAGAAAAAGAAAATCTGTCTGTACATTTGTCGTTATCAACAGACATGGACCATTTTTGGCACGACAATGAGGAATAAGATTCTACATACATCCAGGTTTTATCAAAATCTGATCATTTTTGACTGAGTTATAGAGCATGTTAAAAGATAGGGATTTTTGTTACTTTTATGACCTTGACTTCCAAAAACTAACCACTTCTATGTTAGGTCATAGTCCAACTGTATACGAACTTTCGTTCAAATCCATTCAGCTGTTTGAGAAATCTTGCTGACAAACACATAAAATGGGGTGAAAACATAACATCTGTCCACCTTCAGTGGCAGATGTGATTACTAGGGACCTTGTAACCAAAAGGCCTTAGAATTATAAAAAATTTCTTGAATAATTAGTTTCCAAGAATATGTTTAAAAAGCCAATAAAGTAACTCTAGGGTTAACTATTTCCATTTTCAAGCAAATCAGTGAAGTTATTTCATACTCTGAATAAGCTATTAGCTTACCTCCAAAAGCACTTCCTTTCCACACTCTTCCAGTTACTAACTGAAATGGACGAGTAGAAATTTCTTGTCCAGCTCCTGCTACACCAATGATCACAGACTCTCCCCAACCCTTGTGGCATGCTTCTAATGCAGCTCTCTGGAAAAAGAAACAAACTTGAAATTAACAATAAGCAAGTTTTTTCCATTTTTTAGCTTTGAACCAGAACTTGGTTTAATTTACTCAGTAAGTTATTCAATATGAAATAAGTGAACAACAACAACTTACAAAGTGTAAGTCTGTTTACAGACCACACAGAAACCTGTGCTAGTAGTTCTAAACATCAACAGATACCTAGGAATGATCATTAATACAGCTCCAGTATATTCAATATTATTTAAACCAATGTTATTGGAGATTTCTTCTGAAGAGTTCACAGCATCTAAAATATTACTCCTGTGAACCCTTGAGAAAGGCATATACCAAAAACTAAGTTACAAAAAAATTACTATTATTCTGAAGTTTTATTAGTTTTCATTTTCAATGTAGTTTTATTCCTTCAGTCTGCTTTGGAAACTCATAAGAACCTCTATAAAAAAAATTCAAACAAGTGAATATACTATGTTGAACTTTGCAGTGTAACTATTGCTTGTCCACACAAAAGTATTAAATATACAATTTTTAATATAGAGTAATCAACATTTTTTGGTGAGCAACTAAACATGATATTTTAATACAATGGTTTATGACATTATTTGATACTTACCATTGTAGCAACATTTCCAATACATTCAAAGGTGTAGTCTAAACCTCCATCAGTCATATCAATTAAGACCTGTTGTATTGGCTTATCATAATCTTTTGGGTTGACAAACTCTGTGAATCCAAACTTCCTGGCTAAAAAGTTGAATTTTAAAGTTTTTTTTTTTTATTATTCTGATTTATACACACTTTATTATACAAATATTATTGTGTTTGAAAGATATTGGTAATGACTAATATGTACTTCGATTCTATCTTTGACATATTAGGTTACACCTCTAAACAAAAGAAAGGTTAGAAATTCCTCAACATACATTTGATTTATAAATAGATTATATGTAACAGTTTTTAATCAAAGACTGAAGTACACATAATACAATTTACACTCTCTGAATTGCTTTCTCTCAGATCCATTGGTAATTAAAGTTTCAATTTATCATCTCATTTTATCCAATGTTGCAGATCATTTCATACAATGTTAATTAAAAGCAACTACTTATGTAACAAAAAAAGAAAAATCCAGCAATTTATGTAACACAATTTTCTTCATATATACAAACAGTTATTAGCATAAATTACATACTGCTCAAATGCCTAAAGTATTGCTATCTATTATCAAAAGGCAATTAAATAAAAATTCATATATGTTTCAACTAACACAATCAATACACTTAACAGTAGTTCCAGATACCATTTTCAAATAATTCATGTTAAGGACTACAATGTGTTAAAGGATGCATGAAAGGCTGTGAAAGTTATTATTCATTTGATTCATCACATGAAATATCTATAAGGCTACCTTGTTTTAATTGTGCAAGAACTTCAGTAAGATTTATGGTCTTGACTTTAAATAGACATTACAAAAAACAGTAATTTTTACTTTGTTGAAAGTTAACTTTCACAACTAAGTTACTAAAACAATGCAAATCAACGATTACAACAACTTCTTACAAAAAAAATTTAAAATAGAAACACTTGTATTATAATTAACAAAATAAGTTATAAACTTCTTATTTAATAATAATTAGACCTACAAGCAAGTGGAGTTTTATAACATCACAGTTACAAGTTACCATACCTATTTCAAACTTCTCTGGGTTGATATCAATTCCAATGATGCGTTTTGCACCTCTCTGTTTACAACCCATGGCCACAGCTAACCCTACTGTACCCAACCCCCAAACAGCTACATTCGATTCTGGCTCAACATTAGCAGTGTTAAGAGCTGCACCATAACCAGTTGGAATCCCACAACCTAACAAGCAAATTTTATCAGCTGGAGCTTTGGAGTTTACCTGGATAGTAAAACAACATTAAACACTCTGGAAATAAACATTATCCAATATTATGTCTTAAATTAAAAAACATTTTTGAAGTAGTAAATGAGTTTGAGTATAAAGTAAGACAGTGTAAAATTAAGAATTAAATGAGATGTTGTACAATTAATTCATAACACGAACAAAACTAATAATAAAATAGTACTTCAAATTATTATTCTGAATGACTGAGCATGACACAATCACTTTGACAAATTTGTTTTGTACTTTTAACTTTGTTCACCTAGTAGTTAACTAGTTAAGAAGTTTCTCTTTGTAATGTTTCTTCAATCTAACAACATAACTCTATAACTTCCTCCTAAATTTGATTACTTGAAGCTGTTGTTTTACACAAAATATATCTGTTCTGCTGAAGTATAATTTTCCCTTTTAGTGAAATACCTTTTGGACAAGTCTTTATACCCTTATAAGCTATTTCTACACTTGAGACTCTTAATGGGAAAATTGAAATATATTTTGCTAAAAACAATTTTGAAATAACAAACTTTTACATCTGGGATTAAACCTGGGACTCGTCTACTAGACAATGATCTGACCTCCTAAAGATAATGGTCCAACCAAAAAAAAAAAAGCTTTGGCCCACTTCTTGTTAGTTAGCCATGTTAAATGCACTCTTAAAATAAGACGCAGAAACTATTATTATTTTATTCAGTTGGAAATCAAGATCATAGTCTAGCAATATGATCCAGTCAATCTAGCAAAAAAGTCTTCAAACCTAGATAAAAACAAATGTTACAGAAATGGGGTTTGCTGTGAGTAACCCAAAAACTTCTCCCAAACAACATATCTTAAATATAGGTAAATGTAGGTGGAGGAAAATTGCATAAATCCAAGATAACCACTCGGTGACATAGTGTTTGCCAACATGTCTCAATGAATATTAAAATAATGGGATGCACTTTCAAATAAAGGCACAGGCACATAAATATTCATATAAATATTCTTACTTGATGAATTTAGAAGATGTTGGCCAACAAAAAAAAATCCAAAATGGCTGCCATTTTCCAAGATGGCCACTGACCACCCTGCTAATATACATCTCTGTCACAGAAACAGTATGATCTACGTATGTATTTGTATTGTTTTGGCCATGCTGAAACAAATTCTGTCAACCACAATACACCATTAATTAACTATAATTTATCAATATTTTCTTTCTACCATGTCTATCATTTGTGATCAAGTATACCTATATTGTGGTTGTGAGTAAATAATGATATTCATCTGAGCATGGATACTGAATTTTGTACCTTAGGTCTGAGCTATTTATCATTAACTAGTGATGTCCTCATGTCTTACATGCAATGTAAATCAGCATTCATCTTAATAACCAAAAAAAAACCTTGTGTGATCCACACACCTCCAATTCCTATTTTTCAATAATAGGTTACTCCCATTTCACATTCTACAGGAAGACTTTATAGTAGCATATAATCAAAATGGTGAAACTTCTAAAATCTGTTGAAAATTACTGTAATTATTGCTCAATAGTTAATATCTGATAAAATTAAAACTAAACTAATGTTTAAATCTGTCGGCAGAGATTACACCCACTGTGCATGGGGAAAGCACTCGATCTACCATTTGGTACTTTTCAAATGCATACTTGTATGATTCCTGTCATTAGATTCCAACAATGGTATCAAGAATGCAAGTGAATTATGTGGAAACAGCATCTACATGTGTTGGACAAAGTTTCATAAAGCATGCCAATAGGAGTACTGCAACAAGAATTTTATTAGCCATGATTTGAAAAAAGAAATTAAGAAATTACCAACTATTAATCGCAGCATTCATCCACAATAATGTATTTTCAGGTTTAGTAAGCACTGTCAAATGTTATGGGAAGAAGAACAGTGATGTTTTCCCTGTAAAAACTGCAAATTTTCAGTCAACAATTAAACATGCTTGAGAAGAGTGTGATGACAGTTGGGCACAGATGGTTTATAGCAGAACTGAATTCACTCAATATTTATATGCAGCAAATGCTCTTTACAACAATGTTTGCAGCATCAACAGGGAAACAGCTGCCACTAACACATCAGTACACATTAAAAGATAAAAAACCACACCTAGGTATACCGACTGATATCTCAAAGGAAGAAGCATTTTTAGAGGTGGCTGAATATTTGAAGGAAAATGCTTATTAACAGATAATTGTCAGTGATCTTACAGAAAATCTGAGATTTCTGCAACCAAGATACCAACATATACAATGTTGAAACCTTGACAAATGCTTTGGTAACAGCATCATTATTATCATCATCATCAATGGAAAAGCTGACGTGCTGTCATTCAGGAGCACAGCATCAAATATCCTACAAAGCCTTTATGAAGCATTTAAACACAGACTCTAAAACAGAGAAAAAAAGATTTAAGATAGTTACCAAGCTCATCAAGAATGATATCAAATGTAGGCAGACATCCAGAGATGTCTACCCCTCTCCTAAGGCTATATTTTTGTTTAAAAAAAAAAACAGTGCATTTGAACCCAAGACCCTGCATCTATTTATATGAATAACATTCAGTGAGATGAAGATAAAATGGAAGATTGCATCAATAGATCTGACCACTGTTTAAGTTATCTGGCTCAGAGTCCTCCTAGCATCACACAATTGGTCTAGCAGTTCAGATGCATTGCATCCTAATTGGTTTCTTAAACAGCCATGATTTTTGTTCTTATTCCAAAGTGTAGAGGTTTGAATGTGTGCAGCAAGATTACAGTGTGCCAAAATCACTAGTTTCACCCTGGGTCACTTTGACCAGTATGTGGCAGAAAATGCAAACTACAATATCAGAATAATAGATGGACATAACACATTCCATGGAATGAGGATAATTATAGCTGTGGCACCTAGAATCAAATAGGAAACACTAGTGCCAAGGTGTTAAGCTAGAACTGCAGATGTAGAAAAGATTGGATGACATCTGTATAAGGAAACTTGTGGTGCAAGTTTGTTCTTGGTTAACACGAAACTATGAGATCTCAGATACAATGATCCAACCTAGACCTTCTCTGGAAAGTTGTATGGCCCATCCATTCACCTAGGTCCGAGTGGTCATGCATGATGCACCCTGTCTGTTAGGGTACTCACCCAGAAAAATCATCAATCATGGTTTTGCTTATGATAGACATGAATGCCAGTGACCCAAGTTGTGTCTATTCAACACTAAGATTTGTGGTAACGGATTCTACATGTCACCAAGTGAACTATCATCCTCACATTTGAACATGCTTTATAATGGAAGGCCCAGTTAACTTTTTCCAATAAACCACATAACAGTAACTTCCAATTCTTTATCCTGCATCTTTGTGAGGTCCACACAGAGATGAGTTTTCTTAGTTGTATAGGCAATGTGATGTCAATAACAGGTCTCGAAGAACTGTTTAAAGTTTTGTGTATTCAAAATACCATGGGGTACAAGTTCATTAGAAAAGCACCACCAAGAGCACTTAGGGGACATTTTATTGTGGATGCTGCTCTGAATGCAATTATTACAACATAGGCATTTAATGTCTACCTTCAAGAAGTCCACATGCCTGACAGCATGAAGTAAACATCAGTGGAAATACCTGAGCTTGCAGAAGGTGACATGTAGGCTGATATTCTGGAAGACCTCAGAACAATCCAACTGTATGACAAAGTTTTTACAGATGCTGCCCATTAAGGAAATTTGATCAAGAGAGTCCATGAAACATTAAAGAAACAAGAATGCCACAGTGGCTAATCACTCAACTGTGACTGCAATATGTGGAAATGGTTGGTCTGCTTCACCAGTTTATCAATGCAAAATGGATGGGGAAACTGGAGTCTTCACTTACAGTCACTCCAAGAAATACCTTACATATTGCTGTTGTGGGGCATAACTTATGCCAAAATATTGTATATTTACTTCCAGCTATGCTTCAGCTTGAGGTACAGAATCCAGATCACAGTAAGTACCACGTTATTTGGTATAATGATCACTACTGGGCATGAATGTCACCATACTTGGTAACAGAATAGGTTCTGATGAGAAACAGGCAGAATGACACATGGTTTGGGAATGCCAGATTCTCAAGTGCTGGTATAATTGGTACCATGCAGGATCTCATAAATGCAAACTATCTGGCAAAAGATCAGCATAAAGATGTGATAAATGCCAGGAAGATAAGAGATGACAAAGATAATCTGACTTTCCTTGGGTTTTTTCAGGACTGAAATCTCTTTGAACTGGACCCATGTTTGCAAAACATTACCACCATTGTTACAGCTGATGTCAATGTGAATGCTCATGAAGCGAAGGAAGTGAGAAGCAATATTTCTGGAACCATGGAGGGGGATGAACATTCTGAATTACACAGTCAATAAAAAGAGTCAGGTAGTCGCAATGGGTCATAAGGTTTCTGCCAATGTTAATGATGAGTCCATCCTGGTGGATACCCAGCTCCTGTTCCAGCATTTATTAATGGTTGCAGTTAAAGTCACAGAAATCCTAAAATCAAGCTCTACAGCAATCCATTATCTCTGTTCAATCTAACTGGACCTTTTTGAGAGGCAAATAAGCCATTACTTGTTGATGCAATTTGGACTGTGGGACAAGGGAATCAAATGCTTGCCCAAGATGAAGATGGAATGCGTTATATGATTGATGGTGAATCACTCATCCAATAAATACCATGGAAGCTTCCCAATGCCAAACAAGCATGATGTGTTATCACATCTACAAGTTGCATACATGAATGACAACAAGTGGCACATTTCTGGACCCAATATTTTCTGCAACCAATTAATGTTCCAAATTCAAAATATCTGTATTCTATCTCTTTTCTGACATGAAGAATAAGCCAAATGAGTTTGGGTCTGCATGAAAGCACTGTAGTACTAAGAGATCCACATCCTATCCTTTGACAGTATTGATGTATTTGTCAGTAGAATCTACTGCTGTCTGTGTAGTTACTAGGTTGGCATTGCCTTCTGCATGGATTTTTTTAAGATGAATTTCTCTTCAACATCTCAGTGAACATGAGGATGAACTTCTGCTCATCTGTACTGTTGGCTAAGAAGTGTTCTTTCTTCATCTTGATGGGAATTCCTCTAAAAAAAGTTCACTTGAGTACTTACAACACCTTTTGTTCATCAAATATGTATAGTATCTCTAAAAGATGGACCAGTGCCATAACTGTCAAAAACAAGATGGGATTAGTGTACTTGCATTGAACATAATCTAAGTAGCTGTTGCAAATGCAGTCAAATGTTGCTTCTCAAGAGTGGCTCTCTGGAAGTTGAGCAATGACCATGATTTCAAGAAACAGGCTGAAGTGTCTTCCAGTGAAGCATCTAAAGATGACTCAACTTGTGCTAGCAAGAAGGCTCTCACTTGTTTGTATTAAGATCATCCTGCTGAGGGTTTGGATGCATTCCATAAATATTTATACGAGGTGTCCACTGGCATCACTAGCACAGTTCTTATGCATTACCAAGTTCAGTAGTAGTTGGGGGTGGTGGCTTCAGTTTCAAAGATTATTCTGAGGATCATCAGACGTAACTACAAAACAGACAGTAATACACAAAGGTGCTCCTGCAAGAATGGATTCTCTATGCGAATAATAAATGTCAAAAACAATGGCTCAGTGCCAGACAAAAACCACTCCCGACCCAAAAACCTGGACTCCATCCGGAGAAAGTGATGCTTTAAATTTGATGGGACATCAAAGGAGTAATTCATTTCGAACTCCTCAGTCCACAGCGAATTGTCAATGCAGAGATCTATAGTCAACAACTGGAACGTTTAAATCAAGCCCTTCAGCAGAAACGCCCTTCACTCGCCAATCGAAAAGGTGTTCTTCTCCACAACAATTCACATCTACATGTGGCACGTTTAACGCAACACAAGATATGGAGTTAGGTTGGGAAGTTCTCCCCCACCCACCATATTCCCCAGATATGGCACCATCAGATTACCATCTTTTTCATTCACTGCAACAACATCTTAATGGGAAAACGTATCAAAATTTGGAAGGTATTAAAGAGGACGTCAACATGTTTTTGCTTCAAAGCCAAGTGATTTCTTTAATCAGGGCATTAACAACCTGACTGCAAGATGGAAAGGCATCATCAATAAGAATGGAGACTATTTCATTTAACTAATTTTTCATTTTGATATACAAGTTGTTCAGATTTTTTTTTTCATCTAAAAAAAATTAATTTCTTATGACCTAATACACAGCTCCATTATGATTGACCCAAACAGGAAACATTATGAATAGAAAAAATTAATAAACTTAAAACGATTCTCATGAATACCAACCAGACTAACTAACTAGTATAGTAGTATTAAGTTACTGTTTAAGTATAAAACAATACTAAAGAATAAATATGAATCTCAATCCATCATTCAATTTACGAAATGTCATCTAGTTATACTGGTTTCATGGAATTTCATCACTCAGTGGTAACCCTGGATAAGGGCAAAATGAAATAAGTCTAGCCTTCATTTTAATGATGAAGTGTATATTATAAGCATGGTGTTTTAATTGAAATGCATCTAAAAAACTACACATACAAAACAATAAAAAGAAAAAGTTTAAGATTAGACCTTATAAGGTAAATACTGTAAGGAAGAATAACAAACTGCCCTGTGTACCACAAACAAAAACTAAAATAATATTGTATAAATACAGAACAGATACAACTAAACAGTTCACATAATTTCTAGCGTCTATGAGACAACACAGAATACGTTGGGATATAATGCTATACACTAACTTGTCACATACAAAAATACAATTGCCATGTAGTATTGAAGCTTTGGTAAAGATACTTTAGTAATTACTATACATTCAATAAATGTATTTGTTCCTGTCTTAACTACTTGAATACAGATATTTCAACAATTAGTTATATTCATTGAATGTGCTTGTTTTCATGATAACAGCTTACTTTAGCTACAGATATTTCAGCAACTACTGTATATTCACTGAATGTACTGGTTCCCATGAAATGGTATATCTGTTGCCCCTTACACGTGAACCTAGATGAACCATCAGGCATTACTCCTTGGCCCTGGGTAGCTCTAAAGAAGACAGAAGAGACAATTTTTTTCTAGTACTGCATAAAGATATAAGCAACTTAACAGCAACTGAAAAAACATTAACAATAATAATAAAAAAAAAAGCTGTAAAAATAATAATTAAAATCAAACAGCTTAGACTATTCATTTCTCTTATAAAAACACATTATTCAGCTTGTTTACTATTTATCTGTGACAACTGGCAACAGAAAGAACACCAAGTTGATGAAGCTCATATGGTGAGTAAACATCCAACTTGAAATGAAATTTACACAAGTCTTGTCCTAACAGCTTGAACTTTAAACAAAACATCCCATAAGTTGTAGTCCAAGCATAACCATTCAGTGTAAGAGAGAACATCAAAATTGCAAACACATTTTACTTAGTCAAACAAACCCCATCATAAACCTATGAACAAGTAACATCTTTACAACTGAAAAAAAGTGGTCAAAAACATACATTGGTTATAAAACACTAATAAACAGCTCAAAAAATAATTAATGTAATTTTACTTTTGTTGATCTTATTTTTGAAAATATTTATAAAGTCTACTACAATATAAATGCAGATTGTTATTAAGAGAACTAAGTATCCTCTATATTTTCAAAATCAAACCAATTAAAAGGTATACATAAAATTACTAGATTTGCATAGAAACATTTTTTAGCTGATAAGCATTCTGGAAACTTGTCATATACAAAAAAATGTGAACTTTCACCCTGGTGACAATTCAGCAATTACAACATTTTGTCAGAAACTGGAGGATTTCTTAGTAAATAATGTTGCAATAGTACATTTTACCATATTTTTCCAGCCAGAATTTAGTATTGGGGAATATGTTAAAAAAAGAATATTATTACATTAAACCAGAACATAAATTTAAAAAATATGGCATCTACACAAAGCCAAAATGGATTAAGTTACAACTCAACTCATCCCAAAAATATTGAATATTTGTTTTTCAGATTTTGAGCTTCTAGTCTGCAATACATTACTTACAAGAGTGAATAAAAATGAACTAACTACATATACATACGTACATAACTCTAATGATTACTATATTGTTGCTTTTCATAGATAAACCAGTTATTCCTAAATACCTATAAAATAAGATTAGGTAATTTGAAGGTATAATAATAGTGGTATCAGATTCCAAAACTTTTAATGTCAAATTCACTAGATCCTGCCCATGACACTAAGCTATCTGTTCTTGACATGTAGTCATATATAAAAGTATACCATGAATAAAGTCAGCTTGAAGTATTAGTTGTTCATCTGTTGGCTCCTTATCTTTGTTATGAGCAACATACTATTCTCCAACATCTCAAATCATACATGCAAGTTTTGTACAGTGCTAACAATTCAGATGAGGAACATTACAAAGCTAAACAGAGATGATTAGTTTTTTTATTTTTTGAAAACAAAAGGCCTTTCGTTTAGATAGAATGGTGGTATTACAGCTGCAGGACTATGAAAACTAGCTGTGTAAACAAATTTTCTGACATTTCTGTCACACAAAATATACTATAGAAGTTAATGTCTGGAAGTATGTGATGTTTGTCAGTTGTAAATTTTTCTTGGATTTGACTAGATGATCCGAGATGTATTTAGTCAGGTAAGGAGGAATTTATCATTCGTTAACATTCCTTCCCTTCAATCACTGGAATCTGCAATTCAATTACAATTTCCCAGTGTATACCCAAAAGTATAATTTTTTAAAAGAAATATCTTTTAGAAAAGCATACTGCTCAACTTTTAATTTGTATGTTTGTGTGAGTGTGTTCTTGTGAAATATATAAGACGAGGACAATTTATAGAATACACACCTTCTAATTAGACAGATTGAAAAACAAGGATATCTATATTTGTAGTTCAGCATTAAAACATTTTCAAAACAGGATTTTAACTCAATCTGTTGCAATTTTTGTGAAACACAATGTGCTCCTCTTTTACACAGAAGAGTACCTTTATGAAGTAAGTAGCATGTATGACAGTAAAATATATTATATCAACCACTTTTGGGTAGTCCTCAGTTCTTTAAGAGAAAAATAATCACATTAATTTAATAAACCATGATTATCATTTTTTAGTTGTGAAGAAGAACAAATCATGGACAAAAAGTATCATTTCAAATGTTATTTTCCAATGTTCATTCAAAACAATATTACAACTGACAAATGAAGGGAAAAAGCCAAAAATACCTCAGAAGTAGGTTAAGGTCAAATCCCTCCCACACCAAGATATCACACAGGATCTAGTGTTGAGCCTGAACTTAATTGTCACAAGCAGATGAAAATGGTAATACATTCCTCCTAAACAGAATGCCTGTCCATCACAGGTTAACTCCCTGTTAACAACTGGTACCCAACATAGCTGGGAAGACTGAAGGAACTGAAATAAAGTGTCTTGCTTAAGGACACAGCAGCACAACGCAAGCAAGCCTCAAACTCAACCATCTGACAGCAGATCCAAAGCATGAAGCCACTGAGCCACACTGTTCCTATACCTTAAGAGTTATTGCCATTCCAAAATTAATCTATTTAACTTGGTTAATTCCTAATTCTGATGTAATATGTTAACCTAATTTATATATGTACCAGTACATTAATATTACTTCATGTATATAAACATTTGTTAACATGATGATAGTTCACCCTAATGTTTATAATGGTTTATATGTTAGATTACAGGCTCCCTTGGCTTTTTATACAGTTTATTAGATATCTTCTGGTTCATACTTCTTTTACACTATTTAACACTTAAAGGCAACAATAGACTTGTTGGTCCATAAAAAAAAGAAGCTTAACCCTATGTGCATGGGTGGGGTTCCAAGTACACATGCCACAACCTTTTACAGTGTCATTCAGTTATCAACTATCCATTTTACCTTACATTGCTGAATTAGCAATAGTTCATGGTAGAGGAGACAAGATACAATACACAGGAACATTGAAAAAAACAAAAACTGTATATATGCATTTCAGAGGTTCTAGAGGTTATACAAATGCAATATGCAAACTGTACAATGAACAAAAGTATTTTCATTTTTCACATAAATATCAACTTGCACTCCCACTTATTAGTCTGCATCAGACTGACATTATCAGTTCACAGACACATCTTGAGTACAAATATTTTTTGTTACACATCTGATATTTTGTGTACAACAGACATGTACATTTTACTCAAAGCTTGCCACATTTCATGCATACATGTAGTAAATTTGGAATTATAGTCAACATTCCCTTTCCAATATTTGGTCAGTCCACTGGTCTGATCCCTTGCAAATTTGGTTAGGAGACCGATCAACCAAAACAAAGATCACTTTTTTCTGTAACAGTGTTAAGATTATTCACATCAAAATTATACTTACAATTTAAATTATGATAACCTACACCCATTACCTTGCATTTATGATAATTAAAAGCCATCTGCTATTTATATGCGCCCAACTCACCACATAACCTAAATCTTTATAAAAATAGATAAATACACAATACCATGTAAGGTATTACAATAAGGTTTAAATCCAGCATGTACTTCAACTTTGTTGTAAATCTAACTCCTTTTGTAAAGAATTAGGATTCTCCTCACAGACCAGCAAACCCCAAACCCTTAATATCATCAAAATTCAGCAATCATTTGTGTCACCAACATAAACCAAAGTAGCAAAAAATCCTAAATCTGAACCCTGAGGTGCTTCACTTGTGGCATTAATCCAGTATCAATGAACAAACATCATTTATAACAACCCTCTACTTTTTACCACCACCCACTTTTTGATTGAACAAGCCACCTTATCCCCCACACACACACAGAAACAATTCAAAACAAATATTCAAGGACCTACAAAAATATCAGCACGTCTCAAATATCCAGTCCTTAACCTCCTTAAACATATCTTGAAGAAATGTTTGAATTAATCTCGCATAATACTTTATAGATAAGTTAATAAATTATAGTTTAGCAACAAATATTTTAATACATGTTAACTGAGCATTGTGCCTGAAGGCAGTCATCAAAATTTAGTGATGGAATAACTTAATGGATACTATTATACTGGATTTATATATTAATATATTGTTTATGTCTCTTATTAATATTTTGAATAATTTGATGCAGTTCTTTCGTTTATGGATTTATACGGTATTCTAACTACATGCTTACGTTTCTGTGACTGTGCTTATTTTGGGGTGTCAACCTAGAGGGAATTGTAGTAGTCAGGTGCATCAATGGAAAAACTGCTGTACATCTATGCAAGTTACTTCTCATGTATCTGTCAGTTGGATGAGATATTTAAGTCAGCAGTGCTTAGTAAAAAGAGGTGCAAATAGTGGCAGGCACAGTAGTAAGAAAAGGAATTGTCTTATTGCATGCTGTTGATTTGATAATCACTGTAAACAGACTGACACAAAATTGAAGCTAGTGAAACATACATTTCTTGACTTGCCTTATATCCTGCCTGTGACACCGAATTGCCTATTCTTGCTCTTATGACGAGACATACAGTCCACCTCAGATTTTTCCAAAAGTTCAAACAGTTATATATAGCTATACAAATTGTATGAAGTGAACAAAGTCAGTTGTAAACTATTAGTTATTCAACTATTATTATCTCCTACTTTTGATTGTCAACAAGATTGTGCTATTTAGTCTGTTTCTAAGTGCAAAAGTTTCAAATTTAGCTAAGTAATATATCTTACCTGATCTTGCTACACAAGTTAGTTTTAGGACTTTTGCAAAATTTGCATTCTCCACACTGAGGAATATACAAAGGCACAACTTGATCACCTATGAAATCAAAATAATACATTTTGTTTCAGAATAAGATTTAACCTTTCTGTTATAATGAAGTTCTAAACAGAGAATTATTTATCTAGGATAATTTTAAGCCTCAATACTTGTGGTAGCTCAGAAATTTATCCAACTTACCACAACTAGATGTAACTTATTATACTATCATAAAGGTATGTAACTTGTTTTATTTCTACAGTTAACTTCTTGCTAACAGTTAATCCAATAATTTATGCTTAAAACTATACTTTACAAACATTCAACTCTACATATTTTTCAAACATCAACTACAAACACGCCAACAGAATTTTTGACAGTATCTTTCAATTCTACATTTATAAAAATATGAAACAAATCAATTGAATATACAGAAATTATTTTCTATGATCAGTTATTCTAATATATTGAATCATAACATTTACATAAACAGTAACTTCTTCAGTTTGCAATATGTGATCAAACAAACTACAAGACATCCAGTTGGTGCTATCTGATCATAAACAGTTGCCAGATAAGCTCTGAAAGGATCCTACAAATTTAAAAATCTTGTCCAGATAAAGCAAATTTTCATTCATAGCACAAATTTTCTTTTACAACACAGACCATAAAGTTTCATATTGTTTTGGTAGAGTTATTTTTATCATATATACTTAAACAATTGCAGTTCAAAACAAAATTCCATAGCGAATGCACCTAAGATGTTTTTGGAAACACAGATATGATCAAATGTTGGAATCTGTAAAAACATTTGAAGTATAAAAAAATTACTCTTCATGAATGAACTTTATCAGTATATTGAGGTACTTAGGTTAAATACACTCCCACACTTCACTATACTAGCTCCTTCATGAGCAAGGATTCAGTCTAGATAAAGATATCACTGTTGAGAGTTAATATTTATTATCTTAACAGATTGAAAACATGTTACAATGTCCCTCACACTCTCCCCAACACCTTCTTCTAGAACACAGTCCACATAATGAGAGGCTGTTATGTAAACTAGTGTAGTATACTAATGTTTACTCACAAAATTAAACTGACATTACACACGCATGTTATAATAGAAACTTCAGTTTTATTAATGTTTACTCACCAGGCTGGACTGATGTAACACCCTCACCCACACTCTCTACAAAACCAGCTCCTTCATGACCAAGGATGCATGGAAACTTTCCCTCTGGGTCAAGTCCATCCAGAGTATAAGCATCAGTATGGCAGACAGCAGTAGTCACAATCTAAAAGCAAGAAAATTTTGTGTATATTTTTATATATGGAAATAAATAACTAACAGTGTAACTTACAAAATCAAAATAAATATTTCAAACTTTAGTTTTGATAGTGTTGTTCAAATACAGTTTGCTGTTTTGATATCAAGTGTTTTAAAACAATTTTAATTCAAAAATCACAAAGCATGTCATGGAACAACAAATTCTACTTAGTTAAGCATTAAAATTCAGACACTTTTTCCATGTAAAAATGACTGAAGATAATACCGCGTTTTTTTAAAAAAGAAAATAGAAAACTAAGCATAGTGAGATAACAAAGACATTATTACTCTTTGAAATAATATTGTATTACAATACTAATGAACATTTTAGGAAACATTATTATAACCTAGTTATTCACAAAAATATGCTACGCATTATTACACAAAATTCTAATTATTCTACAAGAAACTGACCTTTATACGAACTTCCCCAGCTTTAGGAGGTGCCACTTCAATTTCTTCTATCAAGAGAGGTTTTTTGGGTTCCCATGCAACTGCTGCAAGGCACTTAATAGGCTAGAGAAACAAAAGAAAAACAGTTAAGTTCAATATTCAAAATTCCTACAGAGAACAACTGACAAATGGTATGTTCCTTCTCAATTAAATTTATGTGAAGTTTTACTAATCTGACAAAAAGTTTTTTTATAATTTAGACTTTTACTTACCTAGACATGAATGAATTTAGGATTTGGTAAAATAGACCTATCTTTCAAATGTAGAAAGAATATAAAAAATTCAAATCTATGTTAATTCTAACCCTATAACTTAACCTTAATTCAGATACTTCTAATAATCACTGTATATGCTCCAAATAATGCACATCTGATAATCCAAGTTATGTAAAACCTTTTCACCAAATATGAGCCAAAGAATACTGTAATACTAACAGTAACAACGTGTGTACTTAAGCAAATTACAGTTAACGTGTATATTAAACTTAATATAAATACAGCATGAGAATCCTGTGACTAAATAAGTAAATTCTAGTTAACTGCAGTATTAGTTCATATTTTAAATAATAATGAAAATACTTCATAATATAACCCAATAAACCCATGTAGACTGTTAAAACAAACCTTCCCAATAGTTTTACTGTCCATTTCTCTGTAGTATACGCGTGCTTTGAATCGCAGAGGGCGATTTACTGACGCAAGTAGGATTTTATAAGATATGTCTCAAGGTCAGTTTATGAAACTCAATCGACCAATATTATACATATGTCCTAAATATATGAACGTGCTTTTTCGAGTGAATAAGTTACAATACATAAAACAGAGGGACATTTTATATAATATTCCCTTAGAGATTTCCTTTTGATTTTGTTTTATTCATATAAAAATATTCTATAATAAAAACATTTTGTTTGTTATAGTGTTGCGTCAGCGAGGTCACATGACTAGTGTCACGCCACGTTTCTAGAACTATCCTGTACCTTGGCGAATTCTCTAGCATTTACTAGATATAGGGTAGCCTGGTATATAAAAGAGGGTGACAAAGTGACGGGACAATAATGTGTGCGTAGGTAATGAGTAATTGAACTGCAGTCACAGAGAGACGTATTGTTGAAGTTAACGTCGTTATTATAGTTTGTTATAGCGCG